CTGGGGATTGACCATGCCAATCCAAGGAAACATCATTGCAACAAACCCGACCACGTATGATAGCGCAAAGAGGTTGGCCAAGAGATTGTATGACCACGACATCGAAAAGGGAGCCAAAATAGGAGAGGAGGAAGTTAATAAAGAAGGTGGGAATGAGAAGGGGAGAAACAACAAGTGGATGGGAAATCAAAACTCTAAATCATCAAATAAACATCAAACCGTGACTGTACATGCTTCTACACAAGCAGTCACCACACCACATGCTCCAGCCTCATCCACCTCAAGTGCCCCTAGACAGTATTCCGGGAATCTCACAAAGTGCAACAAATGCAATCTCCATCACCACGGTGAATGCAGAATGATGCACTGCACCAACTGCAACCGAAAAGGTCATACAACAAGATACTATAGGACCTATCCTCCACAGAACCAACAACAAGGAAACAACAAGAACAACGGAAACCGTAACAACAACAACAACAACAATGTTGGGGCCAACCCCACCTGCTATGGGTGTGGGAGAGCTGGACATATCCGACAAAACTGCCCAACATTAATAACCAAGGAAACAAAGGATCCGGAAGGGTTCTAACTTTGGGACAAGTAGAAGCAGTCCAGGACTGTAACAACGCAAATTTTCAAATAAATTTTTCATTTAAAATATAATAGTTTCATTCAACCAATAATATTTATTTTGTGATTCATATCAAATACATATATAAAAATCCCCAAGATCTCAAATAGCAGCAGTGTGTATGCATCATGCCGGCGCCTTCCCACGGTCCTCGCTAGTACCTGAAACACATACATAACAACTTGTAAGCATAAATGCTTAGTGAGTTCCCCAGTATACGACTTACACACCTACGCCTTTCCAGGCCCTGACCTTCCGGTCCACAATACATTGCCTTCCGGCCCGTAACATAATCGCCTTCCGACCCATAATATATTGCCTTCCGGCCCGTATCATATTGCCTTCCGGCCCATGGTATAATGCCTTCCGGCCCATAACGTTTACAACACATAATACATTTAATATAATGCACATAGCACACACATCATACATCATACCTGACCTTTCTATCACATAACATATCGCCTTCCGGCCAGTACAAACATACATATCATGCATAGCATCTACCTTTCTATTTATAGCATAAATAAACACATATCATATACGACCTTCCGGTCTCACAGTCATTCCCTTCCGGGCGAAGTATAGTGAGAAGACTCACCTCGTAGTATGTAAACTATAAACTCTTGTAACCACTTGCACTCGGTCCGCCGATCTGCAAACTCCCTATAATACCATATACTCTTATTAATAATATTATCAAACAAGACAACTGACCCCAAGAATTTACATGCAGGTCAACTCGGGTCACCGGTCAACTTGACCGGACTCGTCGAGTGCAAAGGCGACTCGACGAGTCTAGACGTCCTCTCCACTTTTCCCTGTTGTTCTCCTTTCTAATCGTCGAGTATCCCTCTTGACTCGACAAGGTCCTCGTGGAAGAATCGCGGGGCCACCCCGACTCCACTCGCCGAGTCTGAAGAACAACTCGGCGAGTCCCAGTGAATCCTCAACTACTCGCCGAGTCTGAAGAACAACTCGGCGAGTCACAGTAAATCTTCAAGCTACTCGCCGAGTCTGATCATTGGACTCGACGAGTCCATGCCATGCAGTCGATCATCTGCCTCCTGAACTACGCATGGTCCCGAGACATGCACCCATGGGACTTTCTGGACCTCTAAGCATCCTATTACTGGGGTATAAACGATTGGGTAACAACATAATAATCTATCTAATCCCCAAATGGGTCTCATAAACCCTAGATTCGTGTACACCACCAAAACAACAGAAATGGTCTGAATATTACCTGGAAAACGTGCTCTCTGTGTCCCCAACCTTCAGAACTCAATCCTCTTGATCTTCCTTTGACCAAAACCTTGCCTCGTCTTGCTTAACAATCTCCTCAAGGTCCCAATAGCCTTCCCTTCTCCTCTAATCGTCCACAGATGCTTAGGTCCTTCACAACCGGCCAAAAAACGTGCAATGACGGCCTAAGAGGCATTATATACGTTCCAAACGAAACGGCTAGGGTTTCTGCTGAACAGCGTCGACTCGCCGAGTCCCTAATGGACTCGTCGAGTCCAGTCGCGAATCTGCGACCCAGACTGTGGTCCTACTCGGCGAGTCAGGCACCAACTCGCCGAGTCCCTACCTAAAATGTCCCAAAATAGTTTTAAAACAATACCTGAAATTTCGGGCTGTTACAATTCTCCCCCACTAGAACTAGACTTCGCCCTCGAAGTCTCACTCTGCGAATAACTCCGGATGTTGCTCCCGCATTTCACGCTCCGGCTCCCAAGTCATCTCCGATCCCTTCCGGTGTTGCCACTGCACCAACACCAGAGGTACTTCCTTGTTCCGCAGAACCTTGATCTTCCGATCCCTAATCGCTACTGGTCTCTCTGCGTAATTCAGGCTCGCATCCACCTGAATATCCTCTAACGGAACCACCGCCGATTCATCGGCTATACACTTCCTCAACTGCGATACGTGAAAAGTATTGTGAATCTGTCCCAACTCTGCTGGCAACTCCAACCGGTAAGCTACCCGACCTACCCTTGCAATTATCCGAAATGGACCTATGAACCGGGGCCCCAACTTGCCCCTCTTTCTGAACCGGATCACTCCCTTCCAAGGAGAAACCTTCAGGAGAACGAAATCGCCGACCTGGAATTCCAGCTCGGACCGGCGTCTGTCCGCATAACTCTTTTGTCGGCTTTGGGCGGTCAATAATCTCTGCCTAACCTGCTGAATCTGCTCTGTCGTCTGGAGTACGATCTCTGTACTGCCCATCACCCTCTGACCCACCTCTCCCCAGCAAATGGGAGTCCGACACCTCCTACCATACAACAACTCATAAGGTGGCATACCAATGCTCGAATGATGGCTGTTGTTGTAGGAAAACTCAGCCAAAGGCAAGTGCGCATCCCAGCTACCCCCGAAGTCTAACACACACGCTCTAAGCATGTCTTCCAATGTCTGAATCGTCCGCTCGCTTGACCGTCTGTCTGGGGATGATATGCGGTACTAAAATGCAGTTTAGTACCCAGCTCCTCATGGAATTTCTTCCAAACCTGGAAGTGAAGCGTACATCACGGTCTGAAACAATCGAGATTGGCACTCCATGCCGAGATACTATCTCTCTCACGTATAACTCCGCCAACTTCTCCGCTGATGAACTCTCGCTAATGGCAAGGAAGTGTGCACTCTTCGTCAACCTATCCACAATCACCCAAATTGCATCGACTCCTCTGGCAGTTCTCGGCAATTTGGTGATGAAATCCATCGTAATCTGTTCCCACTTCCACTCAGGAATCTCCAAGGGCTGCAACTTACCATGCGGTCTCTGGTGCTCGGCCTTAACCCTACGGCAGGTCAAACACCTCTCAACGAACCATGTGACGTCTCTCTTCATACAAGGCCACCAATATTCCTTCCTCAAGTCCAAATACATCTTCGTAGCACCGGGATGGATCGAGAATTTCGACCTATGAGCCTCCCCATCAAAATAGTACGTACCGCCCACGAATGGTACCCAAATCCGACCCTGAAACGTCAAAAGTCCTCGTCCATCCTTAACGAACTCTGAAACTAACCCAACGACTCTCTCTTTCTTCTGCATTTCGGATCTCACAGCCTCGGCCTGCGCCCCACGAATAGTATCCAATATCGGGTCATCACTGTCAGTCTCAAACATACGTCTCGCAATGGAGTGCTCTCCGCTCTACGACTCAATGCATCGGCTACCACATTAGCCTTGCCTGGGTGGTATAGGATCTCACAGTCATAATCCTTAACCACGTCCAACCATCTCCTCTGACGCATATTTAGGTTGGGTTGATCCATCAAATACTTCAAACTCTTATGGTCCGTGTATATCGTACAACGAACCCCGTACAGGTAGTGACGCCATATCTTGAGAGCGAACACCACTGCCCCCAACTCTAAATCATGTGTGGGATATCTCGCCTCATGAGGCTTCAGCTGCCTCGACGCATAAGCTATCACATGACCTCTCTGCATCAACACCGCACCCAGTCCCGAAATCGATGCGTCGCAATATACGACAAAATCCTCCATCCCTTCCGGGAGAGCTAATACCGGGGCTTCGCACAGTCTCTGACGAAGTGCCTCGAAGGAAGTCTGCTGCTCGGGTCCCCATGAGAATGTCACACCCTTCCGGGTCAATCTGGTGAGCGGTACCGCGATCTTGGAGAAGTCCCTAATAAATCTCCGATAGTACCCCGCCAACCCAAGGAAACTCCTGATCTCGGAAGGTGACTTCGGTGCCTCCCAACTCATTACTGCTTCCACCTTAGCCGGATCGACCAATATCCCTGCCTGATTAACAACATGTCCAAGAAATTGGACCTCCCGCAACCAGAAGTCACATTTGGAGAATTTTGCATATAGCTTCTCCGACCTCAGTACCTCAAGGACCTCCCTCAAGTGTCCCTCATGTTGTTCTCTAGTTCGCGAATACACTAGGATGTCGTCGATAAATACGATCACAGACCGATCCAGCATCGGCCTGCATACCCTGTTCATGAGATCCATGAACACTGCCGGGGCATTGGTGAGTCCGAAAGGCATCACTACGAACTCGTAATGCCCATACCGCGTCCTAAACGCTGTCTTCTGAACGTCCTCATCCCGCACTTTTACCTGATGGTACTCTGATCTCAAATCGATCTTGGAAAACCAAGATGCCCCTTGCAACTGATCGAATAGATCATCGATCCTCGGTAACGG